AATTCTTTCTTGCTCAACCAGCTCCCGATGGCTGCCAGTTTTCCTTGGCTTGTGGTTGCATCACTCTAGCCTCTGGCTTCCCCATTTCCTCCCTCTGTCTCCTCTGTCTTATAAGGACCCTTGTCCTCTCTCACCCCAGGCCCTACAAGTGTTGGCAGCTGGCCTGACTGTGCTTCTGAGTCTCCATCTATAACATGGGGAAGCCTCTGCACTTACTGAGAGTTTTCTTGATTTAGAATGTCTTTCTCTGGACCTTTGTCAGAATGATACCTCACTCATCCAAGAAGAGGATTAGCCCTTCTGGTTTTCCAGGCTCATCGAAGGAAATTCACAGAATGCACACACCTGACCATGGGTAGCTTTGGGGAACATCATCTCTTAAACTCGGACCATCAGAGCTTAAAACTCGGGAGTATCCTCAGTGGTCTGCCCTCACTCATAAAAGTGCACCGTATTATACAGAGTGTAGTAAGTCAGAAAGAAAAACACCAATACAATATATTAACGCATATATATGGAATTTAGAAAAATGGTAACAACAACCCTATACGCGAGACCGCAAAAGAGACATAGATATAAAGAACAGACTTTTGGACTCTGTGGGAGAAGGTGAGGGTGGGATGATTTGAGAGACTAGCATTGAAACATATATATTACCATAGGTGAAATAGATGACCAGTCCAAGTTTGATGCATGAAATAGGGCAATAAAGCCAGTGCACTGGGACAATCCAGAGGGATGGGATGGGGAGGAAGGTGAGAGGGAGGATCAGGATGGGGGACACATGTATACCCGTGGCTGATTCATGTCAATGTATGGCAAAAACCACCACAAAATTGTAATTAGGCTTCAATTAAAATAATTAATAAAAAAAAGTGCACCGCTTTCATTCACCTCTGCAGCGTCCTCATCATCTAGGTCCTAAAGTTATAAATGGACAGGTTCATATATAGCCCCTTCTAGCTCTTTCCTTATTTCTAAACTACCTTTAACTCATTCCTACAGAATCATTGCCTTATTTTCTGACCATGTATTGTTTGAAATTCTAATTCTGCTGATATACAGTTGAGGATCTCTCCTAGTTGGAGGCTCCGCAGTGTCCCATCTGAGTCCCAAGGTTTTCATGTGTGAAGGTCATTCTCCTGGGACATGTGGGATACAGAGTGGGAGGTGGAGCTTGGCTTCCCCATGATGGGCAGCTTTTGTCTGGGCCCCCTGCTGAGAGGGGCCAGGGCTGCAGATCATATACCAGCTGGTCTCCTAGCCCTGCTCCTGACCAGCCCAGAGGGACACTCTTTTCCAATTCACCCACCAAGGATGCACTTTTTTCAATCTTGACAAACTCATCTGTGTCGGCTTGAGGCAGCCCTGCTTCCATCTAGAACCTCCATGGTCTTCCTCTCCCTCCTCTACAAACCTGGGGTCAGAAGGGGCTGGCATTTAGCCTAGATGAAGTAAAATAAGATAATAGCTCCCAAGCTGTTTATACTGCAAACAAGCCTGTCACCTTCCCAGGTGAGTTGCCTTTTGAAGCCTGTGCTTTCATAGCAAATGAACAACAGCCAGAGTGCCACCCCTGAACAAATGATCCTGAGCTCTCCTGATCTGGAGGCCCACTTAGAGACCAATATGCACACCAACCAGCTGGACACTCCTGGAGGCTCCTACCAGCCCACAAGCTCCAGCCAGAGGTCCGGGAAAGGCTCCCTTGCAGAGTGTACTGGCAGCCTAAGTTCTCTAAATGCATTTTTTTTTTAAATCTTTTATTGGACTAGAGTTGATGTCCAATGTTGTGTTAGTTTCAGGTCTACAGCAAAGTGAATCAGTTATGCATATACAGATATCCACTCTTTTTAGATAATTTTCCCATATAGGCCTTTACAGGGTATTGAGTAGAGTTCCCTGGGCTATACTGTAGATCCTTATTAGTTAGCTACTTTTATGTATAATAATGTGTATATGTCAATCCCAATCCTCAAATTTATTCCTCCCCACTTACCCTCTGGTAACCATAAGTTTATTTTCTACATCTTTAAATCTATTTCTGTTTAGTAGATAAGTTCATTTGGGCCCTTTCTTTTAGAGTCTACAAGTAAGTGATATCATGTGATATTTGTCTTTCTCTGTCTGGCTTACTTCAGTTAGTATGATAATCTCTAGGTCCATTCATGTTGCTACAAATGGCATTATTTTATTCTTTTTTTACAGCTGAGTAATATTTCACTGTAGGCTTCCCTGGTGGCTCAGGGGTAAAGAGTCTGCCTGCTGATGCAGGGGATGCAGGTTTGATCCTTGGGTTGGGAAGATCCCCTGGAGGAGGACAAGGCAATCCACTCCAGTATTCTTGCCTGGAAAATTACATGGGCAGAGGAGCCTGGTGGGTTGCAGTCCATGGGGTCACAAAGAGTGGGATGTGACTGAGCGACTAAACAACAGCAAGAATATTTCATTGTACATTTGCAGCTTGGGCTTCACCTACTGGCTTACCACTTCCTTTCCCAGTCTATACCAGTGGTTCTCCACTAGGGCATTGTTGCCCACCTGAGGGACATTTGGCAATGCCTGGGGACTCTTTTGGTTAACCTGAGGAAAGGGTGCTGCTAGCATCAGATGAGTAGGATGCAAGGATGCAGCCAACCTTCCTACAGCACACTGTCCCAAATGCCAACAGTGCCAAGGCTGAGCGAGCCTCCTTGTACACCCTGCACTTGGATCCCTCTACTGGAGTTCTGTTCTTCCCATCTTACTGATCCCTGATGGACTGACATGTCAGCCACCCTGACACCTGACATGACTTAGCCACTCTTAGTCAAAAGCCCACTCTCAGCTTGGAAGTAAATGCCATGTTCTTTTCCATTCCGAAGCCTGAAGCCAATAAGCACAGTCGAGGCTGCCCTCATCTCCCGGGTTTCCTATAAATTCTGTCAAATGCTGTCTGGAGCTCTGTGATGAGTTCAGACCCTCCTCAGTGACCTTCCACCCCTAAAAGCCAAGCCAGGCTCTGCAAGACTAACTTAATGCTATTAATAATACAGGCTTGCTTTAAATGGTGTGAGTTTTAGATATTTAGTTCCATTTCATGAAAGGGTGATTCACAATAGAGGAAAAATAATCCTACACTAAGCCTCCCCTCTGCTCAATGCTTCTAACACTGTTAACTGGCATTGTCCTATTTTTGTTAATGTTGTAACTTATCTTCTTTCTTGGATTTTTTTTTTTCACATCAATTCTCCCTACTTCTTTGTACCCCACAAATTAAGCCTAATTTCAATTTTTTCATGACCTCCTTTAGTTTCTCAACCCATACACTTCTTTAAACAATAGATTTCATCCATTTGGTAGGCAGAAAAATGCCCACCCCCCACTCCCAAAAATGTCCACACCCTCATCCCCGGAACTTGTAATGCATTACCTTACATGACAAAGGGGACTCAGCAAATGTGGTTAATTTAGGGACATTGAGAGGGGGAGTAATCCTGGAGTGTCTAGCTGGGCCCAACCTAGACACACGTAGTAATCACACGGTTCTTTAAAAGGGGAGACCCTCTCCCAGTTGTGGTCAGGGAGGAAGATGTGACAGAGAGCGTAGTCACTGAGATGCAGTGTTGCTGGTTTTGAAAATGGAGGAAGGGAGCCACAAGCCAAGGAATGTGGGCAGCCTTTAGAAACTGGAAAATGCACAAAGTGAATTCTTTTCCAGGGCCTCCAGAAAGGGACATGATCTTGCTGACAACCTTGCTGAGTCCAGTAAGACCCACGTCAGAGCTATGACCTTCAGGACTAGAAGATAATTCAGCTTGTTATTATTTTAAAATTTATTTTATTTGTTTGGCTGAGCTAGGCATGTGGGATCTAGTTCCCTGACCAGGGATGAAACCTAGGCCCACTGCAGTGGGAGAAGAGAGTCTTAGCCACTGGACCACAAGAGAAGTTCCTTGTTGTTGTTTTTAAGCCACCAAGTTTCTGGCAATTTTTAGGCAGCCATGGGAAACATTGCCATCCTTCACACTCATTAAGGTATTTTTTTCCTTAAAACTATTCTTGACTTTTAAAAGACTTTTCTAGCTTAAGCCTTTTTCTTTCTTAAGCCTTCATCTCCCATTAGCAAAGATTTATCTAGACATCCCCCCCTAATGTTTCTAAGAGCTGTGAAGTTGCAGATTTTTAGTTTGTTGGGATGCAGCCTATTGACAGCCTACAGGTCGCATTTTGCACATAAGAGCCGGAACTTCAGTGAGGGCAAGCTCTTGTCAAGTTCATGCAGTTTCCAGACCAACACCACATCCCACGTCCTGACTCACCAACTGCTCTTATTTTCCTTTCCTTTGCCTTAGAAAAAATAAGACTATTCCATTGGTTTGAGAAGAGCATACTTGCTTCTTCTGCATAGGGGGGCTCTAAAAATAAACCTACAATTGATACTGTATAGATCAGGGTTTCCTGGCAAAAGACTCATGGAAATTGGGTCAGGGAGATACTCCAGGAAAATTGTTTTAAAGCTTCTGTTGTCAAATAGGTTGGGAAGCCCAGCATGTTTAGCCTTGTCTTGGAAAATCAATATATGCATAAGCATAATAAAACTTCACAGAGTGTTGTAAAAAGAAATCAGTTCTAACCCTTTCATATCTAACCAGTTTACCCTTTCATATCACACTGTTTACCTGCAATGAGAAATTCTCATGTAGGGACCCCTACCTTTGGCCCTTCAGCTATTGCATAGTTGGTTTAACTCAGTATGTGGAAATGGCCTGAATACACAGTGTGGGATCCTTTGGGAGTCAAGTGAATGCTGAAACAAGACTGCTGATTACCTTTTTCCTCATTTTATTGGGGTCAACAAGTATTGAACTAAAACTATTTGATTTCTCAAACTCCTTTGAAGTTAAGTGTGACCATAGACACAGTTCCAGCCAATGAGATGGAAACAGAGTCTATAGAGAGACTGCCAGAAAATCTCCCACATGTGTATTCTCTTTATCTTTCATCTTCTTCCTGCTTAGAGTATAGAGGCAATACCTGGAGTTTCAGCAGCCATCTTGTGACCATGAAGTCAATAGCCATTTACCAAGGGTGGCAAACAAGAAAATTAGCAAGAACCTGAGCCCCTGATCATGTGGAATCATCTCACCAGCTTTGGACAGCTTCTGGCCTACTGGAGAATGTGAGAAAATAAGAAACTGTTACCAGGTTAAGCTTCTGTGGTCAAGTTTCTGTCCCATGTAGTGAAATGTCTTTCTAACTGAAATCAGGTTTCAGTATTTATCTCTGAGTCTCATAGAATTTTGCTCTGTGAGTGTTGTGTTGGCTTTCTTTATGAAAGGCAATTAATTACTGGGGAGTGTATAAGAAGCTTACAAAGCAGCCCAGCACCAGCGTCAAGTCACCCAAGTCAGTGGTTCTCAAAGTGCGGCCCAGATGGGCGGAGTTGGCCCCACTTGACCTCTTACTAACCATGCACATTCTTAGCCCCCACCCCAGACCTATTGAGTTGGAGACTCTGGGGACAGGGCCCAACAATCTATGTTTAGCAAGCCCTCTTGATGATTCCCTGGTGGTTCAGTCAGTAAAGAACACCACCTGAAATGCAGAAGACCCAGATTTGACCCCTGGGTTGAGAAGATCCCCAAGAGAAGGAAATGGCAACCCACTTCAGTAGTCTTGCCTGGAAAATTCCATGGACAGAGGAGCATGCAGCCGATAGTCCACAGGGTCGCAGGAGTCAGACATGACTTAGTGACTAAACCACCACCACTTGGTGATTCTCAGGTACACTGATCTTGAGAGTCACTGACGAGTTAAATATGATAACTTCAGTGACTTCAAACCCAAGGCAGGAAACACTCTGAACAAAATAGTTGAGTCTGAACAGTAAGAACCATGCCAACAACTAACAAAGCTCTCTGGGAAGAGGTGTCTTGCTGTGCCCTGACAACTCAAACTGAGATAGAAGCAAAGATAATAACAAGAGAAAGCGCCCCCACTTAACAGTGAGGTTAATCGTGGTTCATGTCAAGGCTCCACGGAGCCCAGTTGCAATTTGGACAGGAAACCTTCACCTTACTTTCCTCAGTTGGTCACAGTTTGTTCTCTTGCCTCCAGCTATGGTCACAAGGCAACCAGATCAGAGGGGAGATAGGATTTATGTTGCTGTTGTTGTTCAGTTGCTCCATCGTGTCTGACTCTTTGCAATGCAACCCCATGGACTGCAGTACGCCAGGCTTCTCTGTCCTTCACCATCAAGCTCAGCAATTTAAAATTTGCATATACATATGAGAACAGGGGTAGGAGGGGGGTGTGATTAGAAATGATCAGTGTGTCTGGAAATGTCACCAGGATGCTTCAGGGTCTAAGATGAGATCACTCTAAACTTGAAATTTCTAAACCCACTCTGTGCCTGCTTTCCCCCTTCAGTTAAATAGCCAACAATACTGATCACTCTAAGTTTTCCAAAGACGCATACTCTTGTTTAATGAGAATCTCTGGAGGCTGATCTTTGTCATGGACGATTGTTGAATTCTTGGAAGCAGAGGGGACAGGAAGTCCTCGTGTGTGGGACTTTCAGGACGCAGAAGCTGTTGAGAGTTACTCAGAGTGGCAGTGGGCTAAGTCACTTCAGTCACATCTGACTCATTACAACCCCATGGACTGTAGCCCGCCAGGCTCCTCTGTCCATGGAGATTCTCCAGGCAAGAATATAGGAGTCATGCTCTCCTCTGGGGGATCTTCCTGACCCAGGGATGGGAGCTGCATCTCTTATGTCTCCTGACTGGCAGGAGGGTTCTTTATCATCAGCACCACCTGGGAAGCCCAGAGCAGCAGTGGTGGTGCTGAGAATTCAGCTCTGATAGCAACGCCCAGAGTGCAGTGGAGATGATGTCAATCCCAGTTTCCCAACCAAACACATCCTGAGGCTTCAATCTTGCTTGATGTTGCTTGTTCCCAGACCTCCCTTCATTTCTGCACATTTTATGAGCCTCAGTATGTAAGCCTCCTTTCTATTATGTGAGTTGCCCCCAAATTCATCCAATAAATTCCCCCTTTTGCCTAAGTAAAGCAGAGTCATCTTCTAAAGCTTGCAACCAAGAAATGTGACAAATACATTATTACCATCTTTTTCAGCTAAAGAAACTGAGATACGGAGGTTAATCTACTTCTGAAACATGTCGCAACTAACCAGCATCCGGGATGGTCCAGATGATCCTCACCTCTTGGGTGCTCACACCTTTGTGTAATCTTCTCTTACCCTGAATCAGGACTGGTATGTAGGGCATGTCACAGGTAAGCCTGCTTTCCTTAGCTGTCTGTTCCTTCTTGTGGAAACCGCAATAAAAACTCCTGTCCACGTGTCTTGTAGTCTTACAAGAGGAGGAAATCTAAGCCAGAGCTGTTCATCCAAGCCACTTGCAAATTTGCCAAAGATAATATGTGGTTGGCGTTTTTAAGTTGCTAAGTTTTGAGATAATTTGTTCCTCAGTAACAACTTACAGGAAGTGAGAGTGGAAACCAGGTCCTCCTGACTCTAAAGCTGGGGCTTTCCTCCTTGCTTCTCCTGGGGGCAGGCAAGAGCTACAGTAAGCTACTTTCGATCTCTGGTTCAAACCATAAGACAAAAGTTTTTACCTCACATAGCAAGAATTCAAGAGATGGCGGGGTTCCGAGGTTGATTAAGCAACTTAGCTACACCACCAAGGACCCAGATGACTCTGTCTAATTATCTACACAGCCACCCCGCCCATCAGTTCAGCTTTCTCATCTTCCAAAGATGCCATGTCATCCATGGCATTGCATGCCGACCAGACAACATGTGCTTTCCCAGAAGTCTCTCAACCGACCACACCCACTGGTTAGAGCTGCAGTACCTGTCCATGCCTGAACCAGTCACCAGTGAGGACAGTAGGAGACAGAAGCAGTGATTGACTCCCAAGCGTTTCTGCTTGAGGCTGAGAGACCTTTGGAGACCTTCACTAAGCCATCTGGGGTCGGGGCCACCCTTGAACAAAATAAGAGTTCTGGCAACAGGGAAGATGTTGCAGAAAGGTTGGAGTGATGAATGACTTGGGTACATTATCTTCTATATGAGCCAGCTTGGAGCCAGCTGCAGAGAGTCTTAGGTGCTGTATGGAGGATCCGTAGTTACTGCATGAGGGATCTAGTTCCCTGGGAGTCTGGAGTTTTAGCCACTGGGTCACCAGCGAAGTCCCTAATACTGGTTATTACACCCCTGGAAAAATTTTCTATGCTGAATACTATGCCATATCTATAACCTTATTTTCTGAAACACAGAATTGTTTGCTAAAATGTTTTTACAGTCCTTCATGTCTGTTTGGAAATGAGAACTATACTTACTATTGAGACATTTATTTTTATTTTTTTATTTTTATTTTCTTTTAAATTTTTATTAGTTGGAGGCTAATTACTTTACATCATTACAGTAGTTTTTGTTATACATTGAAATGAATTAGCCATGGATTTACATGTATTCCCCATCCCAGTCCCCCCTCCCACCTCCCTCTCCACCCGATCCCTCTGGGTCTTCCCAGTGCACCAGGCCCGAGCACTTGTCTCATGTACCCAACCTGGGCAGGTTATCTGTTTCACCCTAGATAATATACATGTTTCAGTGCTGTTCTTTTGAAACATCCCACCCTCGCCTTCTCCCAGAGTCCACAAGAGACATTTATTTTTAATGTTGTCTAATTAGACTTTCAAATGCGACCCTTAAAACATTTAATCTAGTGTTTACCAAAACAGGTCAAAAGTCCAGCTAATAATATTGTCGTCCACTTAAGTTGCTCTCCAATAAATTACATAGAAAGTTATTGAGAGTAATACTTTTCCAAGTGACAGGCAAAATTAGGGACTTCAAGTCTCCAGTTCAAGAGTTCACTGGACTCATTACTTCAAAGAGAGTATAAATAAGCTTCCTGGGATGATCTTTCTAAAATAACTCTTCTCTCTTAACAGCTGACTTGCAGAACTGACTTTGTACTCAGATCCACATGACTGGGTGTGAGGGACTTAATGGTGTTGGGAGAATATTCCAAGTTTTGTCTTCTTAGATGATTTTCACTGTTGGTTTCTTGTTTTGTTAGAAGAAGTCAAAGGGAAGCTTCATATGCCAACTGAATGGGTCTCTTTTTCATCATTTTCTGTAACTTTCTTTTACAAGATTCATTATGACTCTGGAAATGTGGTAACATCTGTCATAAGGGACTCTAATAAAGATGAAATCTGGTAAGGTGGCTCTAGGGAACTGTGTGTGTGTGTGTGTGTGTGTGTGTGTGTGTGTGTGTGTATTGGGGGTGGTGGGCAGAGTTGGGAAGAAGATAAATTTTGGAGTTGCAATTGGAACAAAGGAGGAGATTTAGTGTACATGCATAATTAATGTGCATCTTCATCATTTTAAGTATTATAATCCCAAGTAGAATAATTTAAAGCATTCAATTCACAGGTTAAATAAATGATTCACTGATAAACAAAGGCAGTCTGTCAGTAACTATCATTACTTCCCCTACTAATTTTCAGGTTACCAAATGACTATCAGGAAAAATTTTTAGTCAACTAACTATGTAAGATTTATTTGTCCTCACCTCATCTAGGCACACAAGTGAATAAGCGAAGGTGGGCTAGAAACAAGATGAGCGACAAACCCTGATTAAACAATGAATTCACTGGGACTTCCCTGATGGTCCAGTGGTTAAGACTGTTGGCTCCCAATGCAAGGGGGCTGAGTTCCATCCTTGGTCAGGGGACTAGATCCCACATCCTGCAACTAAGATCTGGAGGGGCCAAATAAACAAATACTAAAAAAAAAAAAAATTCACTCATCAAATGTACATCAGACACTTGCTTGAGACAGGAATTTTTGCTGCTATGAAAGAAACTGTAAGCAGGAGAAGGCAGACTCTTGATTCAGTCTAACACTGTAGTAGAGCGTGCATGGGAACATACTGGTGAGGTACCAGTCCTGATTTGAGCAAAGAGATAGTCCAGGAGGAATCTCAGGAGGAGGTGACACTGAGCTAAAGGTGGAGGGATGGGTCAGTGTTAGGCAGACATGAAGGTAAAGGGAGCAGGAAAAAGAAAAACTTGGAGGTATGAGGGAGGGGGGCGCAGGTTCCAGGACCTCGAAGTCAGTATTACAGAGGCAAGGGTGGTGGGGAGGGAGGAGATGATGGATGCGGAGGTCCAGGGGTTGGCTCCTGCAGGGCTGCATGTGCCTTACCAGACCAGACTGTACGCCAAGAGCAGTGAGAACTATTGAAGACATCACTTCAAGCAGATAAGATTGATTTATTTTAGATTTGTTTATGTATTTATTTTGGGTTTACTGGCAGAGTAGTGTGGTTGATGTTTGCCCGTGTATGTTAAACAGGGTGAATATAAATACAGTACAAGGTATCCGAGATGGAAAGTGCCAACACACTTATTGCAACATTCTCTTCATTCACATAGCACATGAGGATCAATGTACTTGCATTGAATATATCCTTCTTCTTTAACATATGAGCAGAGTCACTGTTTTGTGAAAGAGAGGGCAAATGGAAGAGATGCCAAACTTCAGTGACATTCTTTTTAAAAGTCATTTCATTTTATTTTTGAGATTTCAAGTTCTGGTTTTTTTTATTTTTTTAATTGCAGTATAATCTACATTATTAGTTTCAGGTGAGCACCATAGTAATTTGACAATGCATGATGCATTGATTACCAGGCTAGGTTTAATAACCATCTATCACCATACAAAGTTATTGCAGTGTTATTGACTATGTTCCCCACACTGCATGTTACATCCCTGTGACTTATTAGTTTTACAAATGAAAGTGTGTACCTCTTCATCCTATTTTGCTCCTGTCCCCACCCACTTCCCCTCTGGCAGTCACTAGTTTGTTCTCTGTATCTGAATCTGTTTTGTCATGGCTTTTTGTTTTGTTTTTTAGATTCCACATATGAAATCATATAATATTTATCTTTCTCTGTTCAGTGACCTCTATTTGTCTCAAATATGATTTCACCACTGGTGCTTCATCCCAGCATTTCACACTGGCTGCCTCAAACTTTTTCATCAAAGTCTTAACAATCATCCTGTAAGTGTGGCCTTAAAAATAAACTGTACAAAAGGCATCTTTTGGGGACAATATGTTCATGGGGAAAAAAAAACTCTGTCTCCCTTCTCCCCACCCATCTGTGCTTCTGCCTAAAGTCATTTGTATTTCAGAGCTTAACACTGTGTTCCTTAGATCTTAGGTGCCAATTATCACCTGCATGAGCCATACTAAAGAAACTGAGAAATCCCTCTTTTGACTTGACTCCTTGGAACTTGTAAAAGATGAATAGTAAGATCTTCTGTCAGATTCAGGCTTTATGTAAAGGCTGCTTTAGTGTATACAAGGGCAAATTCTGTTTATTTAAAATTTTAATTATTACATATCAAGAACTACCATAACGGGACTCAGTACAACTTTAAAACACAACAGATGATGTTAGCAAGATCACCAAATGTGTCCATTTTTCATTGCATTCAACCTCAAACATCTTTTAGATTTTGCATTCAACCTCAAACATCATTTTTGGCTTTCTTACTGATCACCACAGTCTTTAAAAAAAAAAAAGAAAGAAAGAAGCAATACATTTTATCCAGTAAATTGATATTAGGAACTGTTCATCACTCACATAGACTGTGCTTTCATATTATAGGTATGAACATTCTCAAAATGTTAACTATTTGTGTGTAGTCTTCTCTTAAGAAAATTTATCTGAAAGATGGTCTTTGATTTTGAACTCCATGTAAGAAAATCCTAGTTCTTACTCTGAGATTTTTTTTTTTTTTAAGATTAATAAAGGGAATTTCCCCACAGTACCGTGATTAGGGATATACAGTCTCACTGCCAAGGGCCCGGGGTTTGATCCCTTGTCCTGGAACTAGGATCTTGTGGGCCTCGTGGTGAGGCAAAGAGAAAAAAAAAAAAAAGGATTAGTAAAGGTTAATTTAACAAAAACAAACTACAGAATAAAGTTAGATTTTTTTTTTAAGTATTTTGTAGATTTATAATTAAATATTGACTTCACCTGCCTCTGCATTTTCATGACTGGACTTTAAATATAATCAAAGATTTATATCACAAGGTTCTCCCAAACAAGCCACCGTTCTGCAAACCTAATGGAGATGATTTTAATAAGAGGCGTGGAGGTGGGGGCAGAAGATGGAGAGCTAGGGGTGGGGGGAATGAGGCAGATTGAAAAAGATGAAAAAAAAGTCTGATTTCTGTTTGGGTTGAAGGAACATTTTTGCTTCTTGCTTCCCCAGAAACAACTGGAAGAGGAAGCATGGGTTAACGTTCCGGAGTCACTAGGAGTTAATCACTCAGTACAGATGAAAGCAAGAAGGTATTCTAAAAATAATGCCTTCTGCTTCAAAACTGAAGCTGTTGGCAAGAAGCAGGATGGGAGGGAGAGCTTATTAGCTCCACTCCTCTGCCCTCTGCAGCTCAGGCTCCCAGTTGAAATCGGGCACTTTCTGAGATGAGAGTTCGCTCTGCGAAGGTCAGAAGAACTAAGGACACCGAAGGAGAGCCATCAGGTGAGCTAGGTGGCACAAAAAAGCAAGGTGGCAAACCCACACACGTGTCGGGGGCTCCTCTGACCCCTCATGCCCGTTGTGGTCCACAGAGGTAACTGAAAAGGAGGCAGCCGGTCAGGGCCGCTGTAGACGGCCATCCCGTTGGGCCGCTGCTCCGTCATCCTGCCTGCTGTCATCCTCCGGTGTCAGCTGCTCCGGGAGGAGCAGGGGCGGGTTGCCAAGGCATTCGTTTATCTGTCCATGTCCATTCTATTTTCTGTGCCCTTTATGCAAAAGAGGCCCGCTACAGCCCCACTTCCTCCCAAAGACTTGCCACCGAGCCCCACCCTGCGCCTTTCTACAAACCCTGAGAACTGTTTTACTCCACGTGGCGACCCCGTAACTGGTGCTACATCATAGATCCCTCCCTTCTTTCTTCTCCTCCTTCCTCCGTCTTCCTGCCCTCAAACCGTCTCGGCCCGAGCTGGATGCTAGAGGTACAAGGAAGACCGGGACATTCCCTGCCCTCGAGTCCTTCTCAGACCAGTGAAGGAGACAGAAACCGAGGTTCGAAAACTTTGACTAATGAAGCAGCATGTCGCAAGAGTTCCAGCTCATATGAAAAGGAGAACTTACCTCTTCAGACTCATAATGAAGGCCTCCATGCTCAACACCACATACAAAATATGCTATGTACACAAGGATGAGTTCCATCAACAAACAAATTGATCATTTCAGAAAAGGCCATTGTGCCCAAACAGCAGCATTTCAAGTACTGCCCTTTCTTTCTCCCACTTGCTAAAGGGAGAGCTTATCTGAAAGAATATGTTCGCCCATGACTAGAGAGGCTGTCCGAAGGATGTAGGCCTTTCTTAGCGAAAGATTCGCGGTCCAGGTAAGAAGGCCCTTCCCTCGTCTCAGGGATCACTCCCAGCGCTGTCACAAAGCAGCTCCTGAGGCAGATGAAGAGGCAAGGCCTGGCCAGCCAGGGCTGCCTTCTGGAGGGCCCTGGGCCCTGCAGGTCTGTGGCTGGTGGCCCAGCAGAAGCAGACATCAGGCCTTCTGGGAAATTCTTCCTTGGTAGACAACAGATGTCCTGCTGCAGCTAGGCTTTTAGAGGGTGGTCGCATAGCAATAGGGCTTCCCTGGTGGCTCAGTTGGTAAAGGATCTGCTTGCAGTGCAGGAGACTCAGGTTCGATCCCTGGGTCGAAAAGATCCCCTGGAGAAGGAAATAGCAACCCACTCCAGTCCTCTTGCCTGGGAAATGCCATAGACAGAGGAGCCTGGCGTGCCTCAGTCCATGGGGTCGCAGGAGTTGGACATCACTTAGCGACTAAACCACAACCACCACTGCCACCCCATGGAAACACCCAGAAATTCAGGCTGCAGGGCTGGACACCAGAGACCAGGAGAGGTACCAGGAAGGATGAGAAGCTTACAAGTTTACAAGCAGCCTGGTTACTCAAAATCAGAGAAAGCATTAGGGACCTTTACTTAATTCCTTACGAACAACTCCCAAATCTTTCTGCTGTCAGATGTTGCGAATTCATCCCACCAAGACTGGACCCATAGGTCTCAGAAAAAAACAAGTCTCCATTGCTTGAGTAACTACTACTTCACTTATTATCTTTAAACCCTACCCTACTGTGAACTGCCAGACCCCTTCCTCTTTCCCCACGAATCTGAAAATGTGTATTTATTTATTTATTTATTTAGACTGTGCCCCACTGCACGTGGGATCTTAGTTCCCCAACCAGGGATTTAACCTATGCCCTCTTCACTGGAAGTGTGGAGTCTTAACCACTGGACTGCCAGGGAGGTCCCCTGAAAAAGGTTCTGTAAACACAATTTGAAAACCACAGTCATGGTACAATATTGGAAAAAGTGTTCATGTGCTAAAGCTGAAACATCCATTCTATTTCAAAGGGCACCACCTCCATGTTTCGGTTAGCTACAGCTGTGTAACAAATTACCTAAAACATAGTGGTTCGAAACAACAAGGATTTTATTTGTTCCCAGCACTGTCCCTTATTAGCAACGTCAATGTGAGTGATTCTATGAGGCAGGAATTCAGCAAGCTCAGTGCAGTACTTCTGCTGTATGCAGGGTCAGCTGGGGTCATCTAATGACCAGGCTGGGCTGGAAGATTCACGAAGGCTTCACTAACATAGCTGGTGCCTAGGTGCTTTGCCAAGTGGTGCCTCTCTATCCACATGCCTAACTTGAGCTTCCTCACAATGTGGTGGTCTTAGGGGAGTCAGTCCTAAGTCCCTGATGTCTGGCCTCCAGGTGAAAACATTCCAGACTACAAAGACAGGAACGACAGATCTCTTAGGTCCAGCCTCAGAAGTTACACAGCCTCATGTCTGCTGTATTTCTGCCTGTCAAAACTAGTTACAAAACCAGCCCAGATTCAAAGGGAGGGTAGATAACTCTGCTCTCTGTGTGGGGGAAGGGCAAAGAATTTGCAGCCACCTTTAACCTACCACAGTGAGGGCAGCCTTTCCAGACTTCCAACTGAAGCCTCAGACTCTGTTAGGGGTCTCTCCTTGCCCCTTGAATTTCTGTTCCATGACGTTCATCATAAGTTAGCTATGTGATGAGCTGTCTCCCTCATCAGGACCCTTATGGCCAATAAGGGCAGGAATCTGTTAGACTAACCACCGTATACTCACTGCCTGGGGCAGAACTGATGCATTGCCGGCTTTTGGAAAATGTTCAGCGGATAGGATAAGCCATAAGGAAAATAGAAAATGCATACTTAGGGATAGTAAGAACAATACAATGTAGCTCATGTGATACAGTTCTATCAGAAGAAACGAGATAAGGTAGTGCTCTGGGTCTTTCAAATCCATCTTTTGGGGTACCAAATTTCTCATTAATCACCTAGAAATCTCATACTTCCTATCTCTTCCACTACAGAGGAAAAATCTGACATATTCCATCTAAGCATATCTGTGTATGAATATTCTGGAGTAGCTATATATTTTTTTAAAAAATTTTAATTGTGAAAAAAAAATTTTAATTGTGGAAAGTTACACAAAGAGAAAATTTACCATCTTAATCATTTCAATAGTGTTAAGTACCTTCACATTGTTGTATAATCATCTCCACCATTCATCTCCAGAACTTTTTCATCTTGCAAAACTGAAACTCTACACCCATTAAACAACTCCATTTCCCCATCTCACCAGCCCCCATTTCATTTCCTGTCTCCTTCAATTCAGTTCAGTTCAGTTCAGTCGCTCAGTCGTGTCCGACTCTTTGCGACCCTGTGAACCACAGCATGCCAGGCCCCTGTCCATCACCAACTCCAGGAGTTCACCCGAACTCATGTCCATTGAGTCAGTAATGCCATTCAACCATCTCATCCTCTGTCATCCCCTTCTCTTCCTGCCCTCAATCTTTCCCAGCATCAGGGTCTTTTCTAATGAGTCAGCTCTTCGCATCAGGCAGCCAAAGTATTGGAATTTCAGCCTCAGCATCAGTCCTTCCAACGAACTCTCAGGACTGATCTCCTTTAGGATGGACTGGTTGGATCTCCTTGCAGTCCAAGGGACTCTCAAGAGTCTTCTCCAACACCACAGTTCAAAAGTATCAATTCTTCGGCGCTTAGCTTTATAGTCCAACTCTCACATCCATACATGACTACTGGAAAAACCATAGCCTTGACTAGACGGACCTTTCTTGACAAAGTAACATCTCTGCTTTTTAATATGCTCTCTAGGTTGGTCATAACGATCCTTCCAAGGAGTAAGCATCCTTTAATTTCATGGCTGCAATCACCATCTACAGTGATTTTGGAGCCCCCCAAAATAAAATGTCACTGTTTCCCCATCTATTTGCCGTGAAGTGATGGGACTGGATGCCATGATCTTAGCTTTCTGAATGTTGAGCTTTAAGCCAACTTTTTCACTCTCCTCTTTCACTTTCATCAAGAGGCTCTTTAGTTCTTCTTCACTTTCTGCCATAAGGCTTGTGTCATCTGCATATCTGAGGTTATTGATATTTCTCCTGACAATCTTGATTCCAGCTTGTGCTTCTTCCAGCCCAGCATTTCTCATGATGTACTCTGCCTATAAGTTAAATAAGCAGGGTGACAATATACAGCCTTGACGTACTCCTTTCCTGAGTTGGAACCAGTTTGTTGTTCCATGTCCAGTTCTAACTCTTGCTTCCTGACCTTCATACAGATTTCTCAAAAAGCTGGTCAGGTGGTCTGGTATTCTCATCTCTTTCAGAATTTTCCACAGTTTATTGTGATCCACACAGTCAAAGGCTTTGGTATAGTCAATAAAGCAGAAATAGATGTTTTTCTGGAACTCTCTTGCTTTTTCGATGATCCTGTCTCCTTATCTCTATAGATATGTCATGTAAGAGGGTTCATATAATATTTGGTTTTTGATGGGTTTTTTTTGGTATATCTGGCTTGTTTCACTGAGTATAATGTCTTTAAGTTTCATCCATTTTATAGTATGTGTTAGAATTTCCTCTTTTTAAAGACTGAATGATTTTCATAACCATCTATATTTTAACCTGTTTTTTCTTGTAATTGTGAAACTAACAATATCTATCCTAAGAGGATGTAAAAGAATGCAGTGTTTCAAAACACTAAACTTATCTGCCCATGCACATCAGGTAGATTTTTTTTTTTAAGTATAGTTGATTTACAATATTGCTAGCTATTGGTGTACAGCAAAGTGATTCAGTTACATATATGTATTCTTTTTCAGATTATTTTCCTTTATAGGTTACAAAATGTTAAGTATAGCTCCTATGCATTTTAATTATTCTTCATCTTCTCCGGAAGATGTCGCTGGTCCTTGAAAATGGAAGGTCACATTTGGCCATCAGGTGATTGGATGATAGTTGTTGTTCAGTTGCTCACTCATGTCCGACTCTTTGCGACACCATGGACTGCAGCATGCCAGGCTTCCCTGTCTCACCATCTCCTGGAGTCTGCTCAAACTCATGTCCATTGAGTCGGTGATGCCATCCAACCATCTCATCCTCT